TTCACCAGGTAAATCCTCTCTGGAGAATCTGTGGTGGGTTTCTGGGAACTCGCAGACTGTGAGTGCTCGTGTCCCGCACCAGTCAAACGGATGCTGAGTTAGTAGGCGGCTGGACCTCAGGGCGGTTCCACCTTCTGCCCCTTCCTGCCCGGCTCCTCTTACCCGCCCCCCCCCACTGACCTGGGATCTTGTCCTCAGTGGCATTCTTCCTGGACATACTTCAAGGAATCTTCCCAGGCTAGAGCCCCACAGGCCCAATGGGGACAGTGGGGGTAGGGGTGTCAGCGGACAGCTTGGTCTCGAAGTTGTGCAGTGAATCCTCTCGACTTAAGCCACGTGGAATCAGCAGCACCCCCTCATCCTTGGCACCTTTCTGTTCCTCATCGCAAAGAATGGTTCTCTCCTCCCCCTTCCTGCACCCAAGGCAGAACACTTGGGTGTCATCTGAGATATTTAGTCATTTCCTTGGTTTTTTTTTTTTGGTTTGGGGCCACACCTGGTGGTGCGCAGGGCTTATTCCTGGCAGGCTTGGGGGACTGAATCCCTACAGGATGCTGGGGATTGAACCCGGATTGGCCAGGGGCCAGGCAAATAAATGCCCTACCCACTGCACTATTGCTCCAGTCCCACTTCCTTGTTTTTAACCGCCCTCCTCCTCTATTCCAGCAAATCGAGGAACAGCTACCATTACTGAAAATATGGCAACTCTGGGAGGCAGCCCAGTCTGACCCCCTAGTTCACAGCTCAGCCTGAGTATGGCCAGTTTTCTTTCATCTGTGTCTTCCCTTCTCTCCACAGTGCTGGTTGGGGGGTTATCCAAGCCCCCCACAAATCTCATCATCAAAGACCCGGATCTTTCGGAAACTCCTGTTGATCCCCATGCCCTCAGGATTCGCCTGCTCCACTTGGATTTTCCTGATGCAAGTAGGAAATTGTTTTACACTGGGACTCTGATGTCCCTTTTCTACAGAACTTGGGGCTGGAAGGGTAGTACAGTGGGTCAAGTGTCGGACTAGCACTCAGCCAACCCATGCTCAGCCCCCAGAATCCCACAGGGTCCCCTGAGCACTGCTAGGAGTGATTCCTGAGTGTAGTCAGGAGTAAGCCCTGAGCACTGCTGAGTGTGGCCCCAAAACAGAACAAAACAAAGAAAGAAAGAAATTTTAAAAAAGGAAAAAAAACAAACCCACAAAAAAACCTCTTCTACAGAAACCCTTCAAAAGTTTGAAGGACTTTGGTGCTGTTGTCAGGTGGGAGCTGGGCCCGGGCCTGTAATCTCAGCTTCTAGCCTCTTGTGAGCCTCAGTTTCCTCAGTGGCAAAACTGGGATAACAGAACCCACTCCAGGGTGGGGATTTCAACGGATTGAGTGCCTGCTTTGCAGGCAGGAGGTCTGGGTTCTGTTCCCAGCACCACACGGTCCCCTGAACAACACCAGGAGCAATCTGCAAGGAACCAGGAGTAGCCCCTGAGTAACTGCTGGGGAGGACTCCAAAGCGAAACAAAAAAAGCCGAAACAAAACATAAAGCCACGATGACACCTGCCAAAATCTGGAGGCTACAGAGAAAACAAACTAAATGCTGGGGCCTGGCATTTGCACGACTAGGAAGAGGCTGGGGAAGTGGCTCAAGTGTGCGAGCTCTGGGTGTGATCCCTGGAGGTACAGCGCTCTGGAGGAGCAGTCTCGGGACAGCGTTTCTCTGGGGGGGGCATCCGAACAGCGGGTGTCATCCCAGGCACTGCCCACACCGCCACCTGTGTGGTTCCGCACCACCACAAGTGCACAAGCGCACGCCCACCAGCACGTGTGAGGACTGCCACGCACGCGTGACCCGCTCCCCCACCGGGAGCGCAACGAGGGGAAGGGAAGGGGGAAAAACCACAAGAGCCCTCGCTGTTCTACAACAATGAGAATATTTATTTTCTCCAGACGGTAAAAATAACATTTTTTTTCTCTCTTTTGTAAAAGTTAAGTAGCATTACATTCCATTTTCTTAAATAACAAAATCCTAAAAATATATATTAAATTGTATACAGTGCGTCACACTTCATCTTATAACTCAAAATACACGATGTTTCTCTTTTATCCTCAGAGTTGCATGTGAAGAGCCTATTTACAAATAAAGCCTTGGTACCCAAAGTCGAGAGCCCCCAGACGGCGAGTCTGGAAGTGGGCAGGTCTGACTGCTGCCTGCACCCCAAGGTGGCAGTGCCCTGTGGGGGCAGGGAACGGGCCTCCCACACGTCTGTGAAGCCCCCTCGCGTCTGAAGAGGCAGGGGGGCCCTGGACTTCCCTCCATACCCACACTGCAGCAAGAGCAGGTCCGTGGGATGGTCTTGCCTGGGGGCAGCAGGCAGGGAAGGAGGCCCGGTGCCCCCAACCAGCCAGCCTGAGGAGAGGCAGCTATGGCGGGAAGGCCTGAAAAACACCTCATGCCAGGGTAGCAAAGCTGAAAGACCTGGCCAGGAGGTAGAACAGTGAGTGAGGAAGGTAAACACAGACACCGGGGGAGACAATCGAAAGGTTAACAATTCCCAAGGCAAGAGGAGCGAAAGCAGACATCAAACGCCCCAACCGGAGGCTGGAAGTCCAAAGGGTGCCAAGTTGCGTGGGGAGCTGGCCTGACTCTGTGGGAGATCTCGGGTGGCGACCAGGAGAGGAAACCAGGCTCTCTGGGGCGGCTTTGATAAGTGCTCAGGGGGATTAAGTGCCCGGTACGCACGGGGGCTGGCGAGGCTGGCTGCCTCCTGAGCCGGGTCAGGCCAACGGGAGCTGGGGGCGGACAATGGGCTGTGTGGGTGAGCCCTTGCCCGGGCACGCCCCGTGGGTTTGGCCCGAGGGCCGGGACAGCTGTACTTTCTGGTGCTTTGATCTGGTGAGTTTCTGGTCAAGGAATCTCGAGCCAGAGCCCGCACTTGAGAAGTTGCAGCCACTGGGTTACCTTGCTCACCCCAGAGGGAGGCTCTGACACGGCGGAGGACGGGAGGCGGCCCAGGCTCCAGCCCTGATCCTTCGGTCTGTCAGCCGCGCGACACTTGGGGAATAGCCCCTCGGTCTGGCTTCTCGAAAGGCCAAGGTGGTCACTGTGAAAGCCCTTGAGGGTGCAGTGGCTGAGGCAGAGGACGCTGTGCCGTGAGGGCCGAGTGGTGCAGGTCCACGTGGAGCAGGCGGCCTGACCAGCCACAGCCCTGAGGCTTGTTCCCAGCCTCCTCTGTCACCCCAGGGTGAGGAGTGGAGCAGGACAGGGCGGTGGCCCCCAAACCCCACCCCTCTTCTTGCAGAATCTGCTGGGACCTCCAGCCTTTTCTCCTCCAACCTCTACTTTGTTCCTTGTTTCCAAGACAGCAAGCGTTTCCTCCTGGGGTGCGGTGCTCCAGGAAGCACTCCTCCCTCTCCTCACCTCTCACCTCTCTGGGGACACTTTATCCCACAGGAGCTAACGCAGTCTGGGGCGGCCTGCGGCACCCCTCTTGGCGGCTCACTTTGGGGCGATGTATGGCTCACGCCTGCCTGCCTGCTTGCGTCCGGGGCTGGTTAGGGTTTCCCACGGCTGTTCCCTGGATGGCAGGGCCATCCTGGCCACGCAGGCCTGGCAGGAAGCAGAGCACTGGGCTGTTCCTTGCACTTCCGGCTCTCTGGGAAAGGTCAGTGCCAGAGGCAGGCTGGGGACACACGGGGGCCTGTGAGACAGACTGAGCGTGAGGTGGGCGGTGTGGGCGTGTGACCCTTTCAGGATCTCTTAGAAAGGAACCATCAGTTTAAGCCCACGGCAGCTGGAAACTGTCCCTGGCAGGGCCCGCCCTTCCCGGGCCGAATTCCACATTCTCTTCGCCCGCACATGGCTCCATTCCCAGCCCGGGGCCCTTTGTGACTGCGCACACCTGACTGTGAGCGCTGCTTTCAGCGGATGCCGCCCAGGCCAGGAAGAGGTGGGGGAGACGGCGCACGGCAGTGCGTTTCCTGGAGTTCTGTACGTGACAGGCTCTCTCCAGACCCAGGGGCCCGCAGACAGCTGCTCTGGGGATCAGAGGGTGAAATGTGCAGCGAGCAGCTCCTGCCTACTGCCCCCCCTCCCCCCGTCCCAGGGCGGCACCCCCACCCTCCTACAGATACCTTGCTCCATCCCCTCTTCTGAAAGCCCCTCTGCCTGCCAGATCCTTGTCCCCCCCATGCCTGCCAAGTGTCCTCTCTCTGCAGACCCCTTGCAGCGACCCCCACCGCCCTCCCATCTCCCTGGGAGTGGGTGAGGCAAGCTGCCAGGAGGCAGAACCCTGGGCAGGGCCAGTAGGTGGTGGACGAGGGGACAAGAGATTTAGGCAAAAGTTGGAGGCCTTGGAGGCCAGAGGCACGAGGCCCTTGGGAGAGTCAGGCTGTGAGACACGGCCACTCGCTCAGCTGTTGCCCTCAGTCTGAGGAGGCCTCTCCTTGGAGGGGCTCCAGTTCCCAGGGCCTCCATCTCGCTCCTCGTGCCAGCCCCTGATTCACTTCCCAAGACCACCGGAGGGTAGGCGGACCCACCTGGCCACTCACCCAGCTGTGTCTTATGAGAAGGATGGAGAGGACTGCAGGGAGAGGGGGCGGGTCTAAGGGAGGCCGCTGGCACTGTGACTCAAACAGCACTGCCTCTCCGCTCCCCGGCCCCCGGGTACTTATTCTCCCTGTTCTGAGCCGACGGTTGGCTCGGAGAACCCCAGAGAGACCGGCCAGGCCCCACAGGATCGTGACTGGTCAGGGGCAAGGTCAGACAAATCCCATCCGACAGGGAGTTCCCAAGTGGCACTAGAAGTTTTCAGTAAAGGTTTTTGCAAGAACAAGTGAAAGGACGTTTTAGGCAACCACTCCTTGAGCTCGTTCTTCTGGTCACCCAACTAGGAAAACAAATGATAGAAAAAAGCACATCTGAGGGAGGCGTCAGGGTTAGTGAGAATGGGGGTCACCAGGCCCAATTCACAAACCCTCTCGCACAGGAGAAAGTCTAGGGTTCAGAGAACAGAGACCCGGAGCCTGGGTCCTCTTTAAGGCGTTGGGGTGCTAATGTCCAAGAGATCAGGACCAGGTCAACCCCCAGAGAGCCCTGGCCCTGTTCAGAGTGGACAGAGTGGTGCATGTGGAGAAAACAGAGAGAAAATGTACACAATACGGACCCCCCCATCCGGCTTCGGTGACAGCCCAGGTGAGCTGGGCACAACCATCCCATGATCCCAGTCCCAGGGCTGATCTGGTGCCCCAATTCCTAGATGAGAGAGAGAGAAAGATACACAGCGCCCCCCGCAGACCCCGCGACCTTGAGTCTCTCTCCTAAGTGCAGCGATGAACCAGGACAAATCCAGGCTAGGCCCAGCCTGTGGCAGGGCACCCCCACGGGTATGTCGGAGGGCGCCCCTGCAGAGGCCCGAGGAGATGCAGGGAAGAGTCAGTTGGAGCTGGACCTGGGGGTGGGGGTGTCCCAGCAGCCTGGAACTCAGAGGGCCTGTGTCCTGGACGGGGAGAGGGCGTTTAGTCACTCACAAGGGGATTACGGTCATCTTGTTGACTCTGGCCCTTGAGCTTCTTCTTAAAGATGGAAATGGAAGTAGACGGCTTATAAAAAATGCTCCAGATTTCCCCCGATGTCCCTGCTTGATGACAGTCCCGAAGGTCCCCTGAGGCAGGAACACGATGGGACCTGTCAAATGAAAATAACGGTTTTTCAAGTAGCGTGGAAGGGTGTCCAATATAACCTACGATCTCATGACAGACCCACTGAATGGAATGCTCAGATGCTCAGGGAACTGAGCCACGTTTTGAGTTCTGAAGATCCGGAGGGCAACTGCATGTCTAAAACACGTCTCAGTCAACGGTTGGAAGCTTGCCACAGCATGTGTGGGGCAGAGGGCACGTAGGACAGACTGGGGACTACTATGACAATGACAGTTGGAAATGATGACTTTGGGTAAGAACTGAGTGCTGAAAGTAGGTACAGGGATAGACGTGATAACCTTTTAGTACCTGTATTGCAAACCATAATGCCCAAAAGCTGGTGGGAGGGGTGGCGCAGGGAGAAGGGAGGGAGGCCGGGAGGGAGGAGGAGCAAGAGAGAGAAGAAAAGCGCCTGTCATACAGGCAGGCAGGGGTGGGGGGAACTGGGAACACTGGTGCTGGGAAATCGACACTGGTGAAGGGCCTGGCGCTGTAACATGATATGACTGAAACCCAATGAAGAGTTACTTTTAACTGTGTATCTCACCACGGTTCAACAAAAACAAAACCAAAGCACATCCTAGGGGATGGGAGTGCATGGGCAGACGCCAGCTCAGTCAAACAAATGACTTTCTAGCAGAATATTCCAACTGAAAAGGGTGGCCTAAAAGATCGGGCCTTTTCAAACTCTTTAAAAAACGGAACAGCTCTGACTTCAAACGAGACTTTCCCGACACCCCTTCTAGCTCAAGCAGGATAAGGGTAGACCCACTCTGCTGGGAGAGGTCCTGCCTGTCCACCAGAGTCGGAGCCCAGGGTTACCCGGCTGAGCCGGGAGCCAGACTTGATTTTTAGGGCCTGTGCCCTACCACAAGGCACATGGTCTCTGATGCACTGCAATCAAATGTGCCCAACCAAGGGTGTGACCTTCGTGACACTCAAGCAAAAGGTGCTCGGGCACCACAACCTAAGAGCGAGACCTCCAGTGAGCACCGAGTATGTGTGACCTCCAGGCACAGTAACAGGAGGTGGGGACGGGAATGAACAAAATGGGGCATTGGAGAGTGTGCTTGTTCCCTATGAAATACAACGATCCGGGGGCTGGAGTGACGGTACAGTGGGCAGGGTGCTTGCCTTGCAGGTGGTCAACCCGGGCTTGGCTCCCGGCATCCCATATGGTCCCCTGAGCTCGCCAGGAGTGACCCCTGATTGCAGAGCCTGGAGAAAGTCCTGAGCACTGCTGGCGATAGCCCCCAAAACAGAAACAAAACACAAAAAAAAAGAAAGTGATTTACTTTCTAAAATACAAATCTCCGTAGGGTACAGGGTGGAGAGGCTGATGGGGGGGGGGGGGGTCCCAGTGTAGCCAACAGCAGCACGCTAGGGCAGGAGGCGTGTCAGAATTGAATACATTTTTGTCTGTGCTAGAGGGCAGGTGACAAGGTTAGGAAGAAGAACCTCTCACAGGACAGGAACACACAGGAAGGCCTTGAAAAGGGGAAATCCCGGGTAAGGCCCAGAAAAAAATGAGCAAGCACTCCCCTCTGGCGTATACAGAGCACCAACAACAGAGTCTCTTTTCTGACCAGTGAAGGGAAGGGAAGGACATTTTTTTCTGAACTGGCCAGATTTACAGGACGAAGCTTCTTTAAGTTTATTAAATAACTGCCTTAAAATAACTAGTGTATAATAGCTAACAACTGTGAGAATCTCTTCCTGAGACTTCCCCCAATTGCTAGAAGGCCCCAGGAAACATGCGTGGTATTGTCCCAGGAATTTTTGCTTTGCATAAAGATCTCTTTAAGGGGCCAGTGCAGCCAAAAAAATCGAAGGCGTTGCTTCCCTATGCCCGGATTGTTCAATCCTCCTTGAAACTGTATCCTTTGGCCACTGGAGCAAGCGATCTTTCAACCTCAGTGAGATTTGTGCAGTTGTACCTTTCACTCTCCAGAGAAAGAGGAATGTGTGTTGTTTTCGGCTGCCTGGGACTAAGGGCTTTGGAATCCTGCTCTGATGTTATAGTCGTACCCAGACAAATGATCCCAGGCTGCCTGAGGAGGTTCTGAGCCCTCCCCTCTGGCATCCGCAGCTCTGTCATACTCACTTGAACGTGACGTGCAGAAGTATCTTTGCTACAATGGCTGTAACTGTGAGGATGAGGAGGGTTGCCAGGCCGTACACTGTCCATCCTGCAATGGCAGAAAAAGACAAGATTTATTGACCGGCACAGCTGTTTGCAGAAGCGTCTGCTGGCTGCCCAGAGGCGCCTGTGTCCTGTGAGAGCTCCCTGGAGGAGGGGTGCAGTCACCCCAATGCAGCTGAGGGCCTGGCTGGCAGCCTTTGAACGCTCCCACCTTGATCCAGAGCTCCCTCTGAAGAGCGAGGCGAGCGAGGTGGCCCCACGTACACTAGACTCAGTAGAAAAGAGTGGTGCAGAGAGAGAGAGACAGCTCAAGGGCGAAGAGTTCAGTCTGATCCCTAGCACTGTGTGGATCCCCAAATACTACTGGGACCGAGCCCTGAGCACAGAGAGTATCTTCTGAACAATAATGGTTGTGGCCCCCAAACCAAAGAGAAGGAAGGAAGGGAAGTAGAAAGGAAAGGAGGGAGGAAGATATGTATTCTAGCTCTTCCACTGGGCCAAATATCAGTGACATGGACTCTCTGGGCCTCCGTTTCCTCATGTGCGAGAGGAGCAGTGCTTGTGAGCGGGGCTCATGAACAAGGGAGGCAGAGCATGCCCTGGAGGCCTGGCCTGCTTGCTGACCATCTGTGGTGGGTCCTGCAGGGGCTGCAGGGGGTTGTGAGGTGAAAATCTCTAGGCTGGGTCTTCAGGACTGGTACTCTGCTGTCTGAGAAACTTACAGAGGCTCCAACTTCCTTGGCATTGAAGAGAGAACGGGAAGTCTATGCCCAACCAAGTCAGTTAGTTTAAACCACCAAACCACTATGTGCCCACAGTCCCTCTCCGGATTCTCACTACCTGACTTTTAATTCGGATTCTTTGCTCTCTCCTCCCACTTGCAGACCCAGGAGAGCCTGGTTTGGGTTTGGTTCACAGCATGGTCCTTGTCTATAATCCCTGGAACTCTAAAGTGCCTACCTACCTTCTGAATTAAAGAAGAGAAAGTCACTGGATCAGTTGATTAAATACATGCACAAAAGGCCATGTGCTAGATATTTTGAAGTAAGCATGTTTCCTAAGGCTTACGGAGTCAAGTCAAACTAACGCTAAAATACCCCTCAGAGAGCAGGACATCTGACAGGTCACAGAGCCAACATCCTGCTGCAGAACGAGTACTGCCCACGAGCGCTCAGCTTCTATGACTGACAGGATGCTGCCTTCGAGCTCTTCCACCCCCTTTGATGGTGCCCGGGAACTGCTACCTGGAACGGTCTGCGGTGGATGGCTGGGGCTCGTCGTGATGACGTAGAGGACTTTGGAGGAGCGGGCGGCACTGATGCTGTGGTTGGTCTGCTCTGTGATCACCTCGGCCACTGTCTGGTTGGCAGTGGGCTTCTCCTGTGGTGGTTCTTCCTTGACAGCTGCAAGGTTGAAAGAAATGAACTGGGGGTGACGCTGAAGGAGACAACCAAGTGCTGTGGAGGATGAGCTGGCTTGAGGAGAAGACTGTCTTCTTTGGTTTCTCAAAGCACTTCTCTCTACTCACTCTTCTGGCTAAGGCAGAGCCTGCCAGGCTGTGGCATCCAGGGGAGCAGAGGAAGGAGGTACCGGCCTCTACTCACTCGCCTGGGTATGCGAGCGTGCTAGGTCGGCTGCCTACCCTTGGGCCTCTGCAGAGTCAGCTCCCTTTATCTTATGCACATAAACGCTTCTGCTCCTCAAGACCGCTCCACTTGCAGGGAGCTCTTATCCCTCTGACTTCCTGTGGCACATGTGAACTAAATTCTTCTTGAGGTCCTTGTTGTCCACAATCAAGACTCGGACTTAGATGCTACTTGTGGTTGGCAGACATGTGTCTGTGAGAGGGGTTTGGAGAAAGATGAAAAGCCAATCTTTGGGACTGACTGGCCTATCCGGGGATAGGAGGACAGGCCTGGTGATCCCTGGGGCTTTCTAACCTGACCTGTTTTAGCTCCTCCTTTTAGCCCTCCTATAAAAACTGCCATTTCATCTGAGCTGCTAAAATCGCAAAACTGACAGGCTTCTTCACCTCTTTCCCGTGTCATAAAAACTACACGTATAAAACTGGGAGGGAAATCCACCAGCTGACAGGACAGCTTCTAACTCGGGGCTTCCTGACAAGGACTGCAAGCCCGGATGTCTCAGCAGTGTGCAAGGGGAACCTCCCAGGGGGTGCACAAGTCTTACCTTGGTACAGGACAGCAAATCCCTGGGCCTGATTGATACGGTCAGAGAAGAAGTACAGAATGACAAAATCTAACGAGACGTTGAAGGAGAGAGGTGGCCGGCTCCTTCCACTGAAACGGGCCAGGACGTGGTGGGTGTAGCCGTCTAGCAGCTCCACCATGTCCGCGGAATCCCTGATGTCAAACAAGGTGAAGCGGAAGTGGATGTGCGAGGCCCCGGGAACCCGGATGGTCCAGTAGCAGACCCGCCCCGTGGCGTAGGTGTCAGGGAAGTCAGGGGAGTAGACCACCGAAGTTGAGGCCGAGTAATTCCCGCCACAGGCGCCAACCAGAGCTGCAGGAGACAAGAGCATGGGGCCGTCAGGGCGTGGCTCGGCCACACGCGGACTCTTCCGCTGGACACAAACACCTCGTCCTCCTGAGAGCAGCCTGTCTTCCGTTTCAGGATCGGATCACCAAATGAAGCACCGAGAGGGGGGCCTTTTCTCGTTTTGCCCACGAGACCTCAGAACCAACACACCGCCCTGCAGAGCAGCGAGGTGGGGCCAGGCTGGAGACAGAGAGTCTGGGTTCAGGACCAGCTGGCCAGGGAATCCCCAGGGCCGCCTTGCTCTGTCAGGCCTCCAGTTTCTCTCACTGCTGCCTCCAGTATCCATGTGAGGACACAAAAGATAAAGTACCTGAAAACACGGGATCCTCTTCTAGAAGAGGCCCTTGTGAGACCAAGTCACAGAAGGGCTTTACGATGGATGTGCAAAGCTCACTTTTAGCTCCTTCCTTCCTCTGCACTCAGGGATCACTCCAGGTGGGGCCTGGGAGACCCTCAGGGGTGCTGGGAACGAAACCTGGGTCTTCTGTGTGCAAGGCAAACACCGTACCTGCTGTACCACTCTCCAAACTTATTTCCAAGCGGAAAATTGTGACACAGAAAGCGTCTTTCTACATGAAGAAACATTAGATTCTGAGCAGTGCATTCGGCACATTTGGTTTCTTGGCTTCCCGTTTTTGGGTTGTCAGAGTCAGAGGGGATATAATCACCTCACCAAATCTCAAGCACTGAAGTTTGATCAAGACCCAGAATTAAAAGCCCTTGCGAGGGAATATCAGGAGGGGATTTAAGAAGTCTTTGGGACCAGAGAGATTAGGTGTTGCTCTGCATGCAGCTGACCCGAATTCTATCCCTGCACTGCAAATGGTTCCCCAAACACTGCTAGGGTCACTCCACAAGGTGTGACACCAAATTCCCCTCCTCCCCCGTTGCCACCAAAGCAGTCTTTGGGTAGTTCTGTTTTCCTGTAGGACACAAAAAGCAAGAAGAGAATACTGCTTCCATCCTAACAATAAGAAAAAAGCTCAAAACTTCTCTTCAGCCCAACAGAAAGCTGTGACTTCTAGGCAATAAAGAGAACTTAATTTTAAGGAGTCACTGTTGGAGGCACAGGTATGTGGGTGTGCTAGGCTATTTTCTGCTGGGGGACAGGTATGACACCTGGTGGTATCAGGGGACCATGTGGTATGAAGAACTGAACTTGAAGCTTCTGCATGAAAGACACATACTCCAACCCTTTGAACTACCATCAAGTCTCTTTAGAACCTTTCTCAAAACAACAACAAAAACCTCTCTCTAGAGAGAGAGAGAGAGAGAGAGAGAGAGAGAGAGAACTTGATTAAGGCACTTGCCCTGTATCCCTTTAATCTGGTTCCAGTCTCAGGCACCAGATACCACCAAGGGTATTCCTGAACACATAGCTTCTGAGCACTGCTGGGTGTGGCCTTCCCCCAAATTAATAAATGAAAAATAAAATCTCCTTAGCCTTCTTTATGATTAGCTCAGTCAGTTTCCATAGGAATAAGCCCCAGGCATCAGCTGAAACAGCTTCTCTCAGATACAAAGCATGAGCAGTTTGCTTGTAGACATAAACAATAATTGATGTGCCTCAGGAAATAAATCTTAATCAGTGGATCCAGAAATGTACAACATTCCATTGCTTGGCTGCCAAGAAAGGAAATAAGATCATAAAATGTGTATCTAGTTTATTTCAGTTAGTATAATTCAAGAGTCATCACACTGTATCATGTACTTTATTCCTTTCTGTGACTGAATAATATTTCATTGTATGGATGTACCATATAATGAGGAAAAAGTTCTCTGTCTAGTGATGAAAACCTGGGCTGGTACCACTTTGAGCTCTCTCTCTCTCTCACACACACACACTCTCTCTCTCTCTCTATATATATATATAATGTTATATATATACGTATGTATAAATGCTGCCATAAACATTCATGTATGCTTTTGCATTAACATAGATTTTCAACTGTCTCAGGTACATACCGAGGAAAGGAACAATTAGGTTCTAAGATAATGATTTGTAAGCTACCCTCTGTGGGATTATGACTGAAAGCCTATACATCAGAATCCTGCCCAGGCAGAATAGGGCAGCCCTGCAGGAGACTTGGCTGGTCCTGGATAGCTGATCCCACACAGTCCCTGCCCTTGTTGGGGTCCAGTGTGGAGAACCACTTATCTCGAGAACTGGGGTGTGGCTAGAAAGACAGCTGCCCACTCGCCTGCCAAACACTGCACATTCATGGGAAACCGGGTGCTAAACTATTCTCAGAGGACCTGCTTCTGGGTCAGGGTTCGTACCTAGCACAGCAGCTCTGAGGCAGTCTACTGAAAGTCAGCCCTGGACACAAGAAAGTTTGTAAGAAAGAAAGGAAAAAAAGATAATAACGATCCATTTCACATTTTGGGAGGCTGAGACTATTTTCCATAGAGTTGTTTCATTTAACATTTTTACCAACAATGTGTGAGGGTTTCAGGTTTTTACTGGATTTCTTAGTTTCCACTGAAAGAAAATAACATTCCATTCTATTTAGGTAGAAAATCAGGTGGGAAGCCCACAGGGCCCACCCTGCTTTTGTTTACTGACTAGTACCTGGTTTCAGGGCAGTGTGAGCTCTGGCAAGCTATGGCTCCTTTCCATGGCCTCGTTAAAGCAGAGTGATAATAATGCCTTCTGCAGATCGGGCCAGGAGAACCTATTGTGATAGGTTACATAAAGGGCCCGCTCGAGCAAATCGACGATCAACGGGAGGGCCTTGACCTTTTACCTTTACATAAAGCCTTAACATATGTAATACTCAATAAATGCGTATTTCTTTTCTTTTGCTATAGTATGTTAGGTAATTTGTAAACTGAGCAAACATTACTTTGGGTTAAAGTGTTAAGGCAGATAACTGTGATACAGTCACTGTCACTGTCCTGTCACTGTCCTCCCGTTGTTCATCGATTTGCTCGAGCGGGCCCAGTAACGTCTCTATTGGAGACTTTGTTGTTACTGTGTTTGGCATATCGAATACATCACGGATAGCTTGCCAGGCTCTGCCGTGCGGGCGAGATACTCTCGGTAGTTTGCCGGGCTCTCCGAGAGGGGCGGAGGAATTGAACTCGGGTCCGGCCATGTTGGCGGCGTGCAAGGCAAACGCCCTACCGCTGATACAGTGAACTCTGAAAATGAAAGGCTAAATGTGCAGTGCATATAATGTGCTAACTAGTCTTTTATTTTTATATTTTTTAAATTTGGGGGTTTTGGGGTTATACCTAGTACTTTGGAGTTGCTCTGAGCTCTGTGCTCAGGGGTGACTCCTGGTGAAGCTTGGGGGACCGTATGCAGAGTGGGTGTCAGGGATCTAGCTGGGCAGGCCATATGCAAGGCAAGCACCTTCATCTCTGTACTATCTCTCCAGTTCCTGCCACCTATTCTTCCTCATATGTTAGCCAAGGTTCAGTCTTTAGCTGCAACACAGGCATTAAACTGAGCACTTGTTTTGAGAAACGTAGTGAAAGTCAGGGACATCTCCACTGGGCACATTTGGTTGAAAAGACCAATAAATGACCACACGGGCTCTGCTTCCCAATCCTTCTATTCTCTCCACCAAGCACACACACTTTATTTATTTATTTTTTGCTTTTTGGGTCACACCTGGTGATGCACAGGGGTTACTCCTGGCTCTGCACTCAGGAGTTACTCCTGGCGGTGCTCAGGGGACCATATGGGATGCTGGGAATCGAACCCGGGTCGGCCGCGTGCAAGGCAAACGCCCTACCCGCTGTGCTACCTCTCCAGCCCCAGCGCACACACTTTAGACAGAGTCAAAGCTGTAAACTTAGGTTAGGGTTTACAGGCACTAAACCTGTTGATCTGGGGGTTCACCAGTTATATGCTCAAGTCCTGCTGCCGGGTGCCTTACTAGGGAATGGGGTCTTGACTCACAAAACAGAGTCAGCAGGAAGCTGTACTAGATTGGGGTGGGGCCAAAAGCCAGTGATCAGTCTTTAAAAGGGGATCAAAATACCAAGAGAGGCAGGCACAGAGGGAAAACTGTCATGTGAATGAGGCGGGAGTGGAGTGATGCGGCTGCAAGCCAAGGAGCACCACGCGTGGCCAGCCCTGACCAGAAGCTAAGAAGAGAAAAATAATGTTTTCCTGGAGGTTTGCAAGGGAGGTCCTAACATGACCTTAATTTATTAACTTCCTCCTGACCAATGAGAGAATACATTTCTGGGTTTTTTTTTTTCAAGTTAGTTTGCGATAATTTGTTATGGCTGTCCTAGAAAGCTACTACACTGCAAGACATTTTTACCTAAAACCAAGCTGCTCTGACTCATAAAGTTTTCAACTGTGTCTAGTTTAGCCTAATGAGTAAAAAGGATACTACTGACTATAGTTTATTTTAGAAGTATTTTTTCAGCTTCAAATGCATATCTCCTTCTTACCATTCTAAGTCTGGCCAGTCCTGCACAGTACTGTGGCTCTCACAAGGGGGCTAGCATTGAGTGGCTGAGGTGGATTAGGATGAGGGGCTGGGTAGCCCAGCAGGTACAACAAGGTGTTGGGAAAGTGATGGCGCCATAAAGGACCACACTCTTTTGTCCGCGAACTCAACAACTCCAAGCATGTGCTTTCTTCTCATTTTCATTTTAATGCAGTTTTCAAGAGTGGCAAGAGTGGAGCCTTGTACAACGATACATGCCCAGGGTCAGGCCAGTGACTGGCCAGAGCCAGGGGCTTAGTCAGTCTTGCCAAGCAAATTAATGACTATAGAAAGGGAGGAAAAGGAGATCGGCTTGATGGACCAAAGTGGGCGCTGGACCAAAGTGGGCGTTGGGCCTTGGGCATGCAGTGTACTCACTGTCAAAGACGATGATCCTGCCATCACCACCACAGGGCTGGGTGTGATCCCCGAAGCAGACGCTGTTGCATTCAGTGCTGGCTGCCTCCCCGTACCTCCAGTAATCAGGATTGTTCCCACAGAAGCAAGCGTAGCCAGATTCCATTCCAGCAAACTGCCATAACAGAGAAGCATCACATGGTTAACTTTAGTCTGGGGGGTGAGGGTAGGGGTCAGGGTGCCTGCAGGAGCCTGGCAGGGCCAGCCCTAGTGAGCAAACCTCTTTTCTCTTCCCTTGTCTTACATTTCATGAAGCAGGTGTCCCCTTTTGTGAGCATTCCTTTCACTGTGTGCACCTCGATTGTAGCCTCCTAGGAATGTATGATGTGGGCAGAATGACTACCATCAGAAAATCTAACAACTGTATTGACCACAGTGACATTCCTGTTTTCACCCCTGGCAATCACTGACCAGTTTTCCACAATTGTAAAAGGTCTTCCTCAACTTACAATGGGGTCACACTCCAACAAACCCACTGTAAATAGAAAATGTCACAAGCAGAATATAACTTACTAAACAGCACACTTAGCCTAGTCTACCTTACATTATCTGCACATATATTATCCTACAGCTGGGTAAAATGGAGAAATACTTTATAATAAAGTGCTGAATATCTCACGTAACGTGTACCTTACTGAAAAACAAAAAGGCCTTTAGTTTTACTTCAGTGAAAAGCTGAAATAACAAAAGTTGAACTATTATTAAGTTTGGGATCATCTGACTGCCTTTTCAAGACTGTTAAAAGCTATAGAGTATCTCACCCTCAGCTGTATGGAATTAGAATTAAAATTTTGAGAATTAGAATTAAAAACTAATTCTCAAAAACCATTTCCCCCCCCATGTGATAGGATTGAAGGAGAGCGGGGACTAGAGCATGATGAATGAATGGGATTTTTATTTATTTATTTATTTTTCCTTTTTGGGTCACACCCAACAATGCTCAGGGGACCATATGGGAACCCGGGGATTGAACCTGGGTCGGCTGCGTGCAAGGCAAACGCCCTACCCGCTGTGCTATCACTCCGGCCCCGTGAATGGGATTTTTAGTGTTTTATATATTTATTATAAAAAGAAACTCTCTTTCCCTCATCACCATGTAAGGAAACAGAAAGATGTTGGTTTCTGAACTGGCAACAAGCCTTCTAGACACCAAATCTTCTAGTGCCTTTGGGCCCAAGCAGCACTGCAACACTGGGTCAGAGGATCAAATCTTCAGGCTGACACAGAACCAAGGCCTTCTGATCACTGCTTGAAGCCCCACCTACCCCCACCCCACCACTTCTATCTCACTAATCTGAATATCAATCTTTACACTCACAAGTCAGCTCCCTTTCCAGTGGCATAATTAAGAAATCTTTTAAATTTTTGGTGTAATCTGAGGATATAGGTTCGTTTTTCTTCATAAATAACTTCCCCCCCCCCCCCCATCTGGAACCATTTCAACGACCCCTTCCCTACTGAAGAACCTTGACATCTTTTTCAAAAAGCAACTGGCCATACTCTATTTGGTCCCATTGGTAGCTGTTGCACGGATTGAACATGTTTTCTTTTATTAAAGGTCAGATAGTAAACATTTTCAGCTTTGTGTACTATAGAGTTTCTCCTTAACTACTCAACTTTGCTGTTGTAGCATGAAATATATACAGAGGAGGGATGGGGGTGGGGGCTGTGTTTCACTGGTAGCGCAAACGCTTTGTATATATGAGGCCCTAGGGTCAAGGCGCAGCACCACCTCCCCGCCCCTGGCTCCTCGTCTACACACACACATACACAAATCGGCATTGCTATGTTTCAACGAAAAGTTATTTACAATAATAGGTAAGTAGCAGGATATGGCCCATTTGCTGGCTCCTGATCTCCATGACCACTGCCAGACTGAAACCACTCTCTTTACAGAAAGTCCTGAGATCAGGGAGGATATCCAGAGTTGTGGCTTTTCAAATATTATTTTGGTCACTCTAGTTTGTCTTTCCATGTAAATTTTAGTATTAGCTAATTGATTTTTTTCAAAAATCTAAAAGGATTCTTAGATTTCTGAGAACTGACGACATTTTAATATTGAGTCCTCCAATCCATGAAGAATATCTATATCTACATTTATTCAGGCATTGCTTAATTTTCTCTTGCAATGGTATTTGGTGTAGAGGTCTTTAATCTATTTTGTTTAGTTTGTGCTACTACGTTTAAAAATATTTTTAGTTTGGGGAAGGTGTTGTTGAGGGGAGCTCACAGGAATCCCTGGTTTTATGCAAGGAAGTGTACCAAGTGTACTTGGCAGTGCTGGGGGCTGTAAGTGGTGGCCGGGGACTCAAACTGGGATTGTGTGAGGCTGCATGCAGGGCAGGGGCCTTTGCCTCCATGCTATCTCTCTGGCCCAATTTCTGCTAATGTAAGTGGAATTATTTTATTTTATTTTTTGATTTCTGATTCATACCTGGCTTTGCTCAGGACTTAATCCTGGCTCCAGGCATCAGATTTTTAACTTATAAGCTCAATTCCTTTGCAAGCAAACAATCATTTAAGCCTTACTAAGCCAACAGCCCCACAAAGGTCCTGGGCCCTGCCAGCTGGTTCTCCTGCTTGGACTTGATCAATGGATTTTGACTGGATAACTGAAGGAGGTAAGGAAAGAAGAATGAGAGGTAGGATTCCGATTTTCCTTCTACTTTTATACAATTTGAACCTTAACAGGCATTACTGAACCTTAACAGTCAACAAATGAATTTCATAGAGAGGGATGGATGGGAAGAAAAGACATTTTGACTGGTATCCCAGCCGGATCTGCTTAACATATTAAGGAAATATCACTTCCCTGGCTTATTCCCAGATTCCCTGCACAAGCAGCTATGTCCCTGCTTATAACAAAGAAGGGCACAAAGAAATAAACACTGCCAGAGGTCAAATAAAGATGCAGTTTTGGGCGATTTTCCTCTCTCTTTTCCTCAGTTTTTAGGCAAGAGTTTTGTACTCCTTAAACTAATAAGCCTTACTCTGCCTCCAACTTGGTAGAAAAGAATGTATGCATTGATAGATTTTTAATTTATACAACTATCAATATACAACTACACACATGCATTTGAGTTATTTCAGAAGACTGTATTTACAACTTTATGTTTTCTACAGATATACAGCAATGGTTATTACCTTGAACCTCTGACTCCGACAAAAGCTGATACAGGTTTGTATGGTTAGTTTGTTAGATGTTTTACTGGTGCCAGTCAGAGGGGGTGGGTTTCCATGATCCTTGTAGCAGCCAAGGTTTCCAGGCACTAGAGAAAAGAGAAAAACAAAAGAATTTCACAACATTTGGCTGTGAAATACCAAGAAGGAAAAGTGATTTATGCCAGGTGCTTTAATCTCAGTCAATATTTCCACTCCTGGGGTACAAACAAATTATAAGCAACAAGTCTCTCTTTTTTGGGTACTATCTCTTTGGCTCTATTAGCAGTAAGTCTCAATGGAAGCCTCAGTGTCCTGTGATAAACCCATGTTTTTGTTTATTTTGACAAGTATGAGACCCAGGTTCACCTTGAACTAGCCCTATGGAAAAACTATTTAACCTTTCAATATGTTCTTGTTTGTCTTGCTTTGGATTTTGGGTTACACCTGGTGATGGGGGTGCTCCTAGGAACTGGGACTGAACATAGCCCTCCGAAATGCAAAATATGTGTTCATCTCCCTGGCCCTTACGATGTTCATTTAGCACAGAATATAACTGTGAATAATTTCCTAAACAGAGAGCTGAAATGACATTTCAGAGTCATGAGAAGGCAGGAAAAGCCCTTGGCCTGTGCTTGCTTTGTTTCTTATACAGCTCCACAAATGTATTTCCCCAAAGTCTGTCTGTGAATTTGTATTAGTTTCCTGTTACTATTGTAACAACTGCCACAAAAGTAATGGCTTAATAGCATAATTTAGGGCTGGAGAGAGTGTGCAGTGGGCAAGGGGCTTGCTTTCCACACAGCCAACGAGGGTTCCATCGCAGGTCCAAAAACCCAAAACCAAACCAAAAGCAACAATGATCACAACTGAAAAACAGTATGAATTCTAATCTTATAGCTGAGGAGATCAGAAAGACTAAAAGGGTTTGGCTTTTCCATCTTCTAGAAATGATCTCTATTCCTTGGCTTGTGGTCACACCATTCTAGCCTCTGCCTCCACCACCCTATTACTCTGACTGACCTTCCTGCCTCTGTTTTGAGGACAGGCATGATTAGAGCGTATCTAATTGGATAGTTCAGGTACTCTACCCATCTCAAAATCCTTGACTTCAACATATCTGTAAAGTCTCTCATGCCTTATAGGGTAACATATTCAAAGATTCTGAGTTTGAGAAGCAATTATTTAGCCTACTAGCGTGAACATACTGGTGCTATACAACCATACAATTAGTTGGTCTAGTAGGAAAAGAATTACCTGAGAATAAAGAAATCTAATCTGAGTATATGAATTAACAGTGGAAAATAATTGTCAAATTTTGCCCTTGAAGATCTCCCTTTGGCCTTGGGTCATTCCCTCCCTATGAGAGGAGGTGGAATAGAGACTACCTTTTTTTTCCCCCCTTAAGGGACTACTTTTTTTGATCTCTTGACTTTTTAAATATTTCTTTCTTTTTTAAATTAATTTTATTGACTCACTGTGAGATAGTTATAAGCTTTCATGTCTGGGTTACAATCACACAATGATCAAACGCCCATCCCTCCACCAGTGCACATTCCCCACCACCAATATCCCCGGTATAACCCCCCTTAGCCTCCATGGCAGATATGATTCCCCATAACCTCTCTCTACTTTTGGGCATTATAGTTTGCAATACAGACCCTGAGAGGTTATCATGTTTGGTCCTTGATCTACTTTCTGCACACATCTCCCATTCCGACCGATTCCTCCAGCCATCTTTTTCTTAGTGATCCCTTCTCTATTCCAGCTGCCTTTGCTCATGAGACAGGCTTCCAGCTATGCAGCAGTCTATCTGTCCCGTGTATCTACTCTCCTTAGGAGTCAGCCTCATGTTATATAGTTTTATACTCCACAAATGAGAGCAGTCCTTCTATGTCTGTCCCTCTTTCTGACTCATTTCACTCAGCATGATACTCTCCATGTCTATCCATTTATAGACAAAGTTCATGACTTCATCTCTCCTGACAGCTGCATAGTATCCATTGTGTAGATGGACCAACGTTTCTTTAACCAGTCATCTGTTCTAGGGCACTTGGGTTGTTTCCAGATTTTGGCAATTGTGCATATAGGTACAGATGTCATTTCTACTGTGCTTTTTTGCATCCTCGGGATATATTCCCAGAAGTGGTACTGAGGGGTCATATGGAAGCTCAATTTCTAGTTTTTGAAGGACTGTCCATACTGTTTTCCAGAAAGGCTGGACTAGTGGGCATTACCACCAAAAGTGAAAGAGTGAAGGGACGACTTTTTTTTTTTTTTTTTGGGTCATACCTGGTGATGCTCAGGGGTCACTCCTGGCTCATGCACTCAGGAGTTACTCCTGGCGGTGCTCGGGGGACCATATGGGATGCTGGGAATCGAACCTGTGTCGGCCATGTTGGCTGCGTGCAAGGCAAATGCTCTACCCGCTGTGCTATTGCTCCAGCCCCAGGGACAACTTTTAACCAACAAAATTCGCTAAGGTGCAGGGGGTATCACTCTTGTCACTAGATCACAAGAGATGGTGACTTTTGTCTGGCTAGTAGACTCTATATTGACCGATTGGCTTTCATACTTGATAGAGCAATTGGCCAGGTCTGAGACCATGTAGGAATGAACTGAAGGTAGCCTCCAGTCAAGAGCAAGAAACCAAGATTTCAGTTTCTGCAAAGACTGATCCTACAGTAACTGTGTGGTGCTGAAGCAGATGCTTCCCCGTGGAGCCTTCAGATGAGACACCAGCCCTGACGGACATCTTGAAGCAGAGGATTCAGCTTAACCATGTCCAGCTGTCCTGACCCCAGAAAGGATGATACAATAATCACTTAATCACTTAATCCCCGTTATTCATCGATTTATTCGAGCGGGTGCCAGTAACGTCTCCATTCATCCCGGTTGCGTGCTAGCGTAGCCCAATGGTATCTGTTCGTTTTAGGAACATGTAGAGCCTCAAACCGATCATTTAGGGTCTTGACGAAGAAGTCTGACCATCTTGTAGGTGGGCGTCCACGCGATCTTTTGATGTCTCGTGGAATCCAATCAGTAATGGCTCTAGTCCAGCGGTTGTCTGTAAACCTCATTACGTGTCCAGCCCATCTGATTTTTGATGTCTTGGCAAATGAGACAGCGTCCCTGATTCTTGAGCGTTGACGAAGATCAGAACTCCGGATTCTATCTCTCATTTGAGTGAATCGTGATATTCCAAGCATAGTTCTTTCGATTCCTCTTTGAGAGACCCGAATAGTGTTCTCATCCTGTTTTCGTAGGGTCCAGGTCTCTGAGGCATATGTTAATGCAGGAAGAATAGTGGAATCAAAGAGATGTGCTCGTAGTTGGAGGTCTTTGTCCTTTTAGTTATTTCTTCAATGCTCTTGAAGGCATTCCAAGCCGCTCTCTTCCTCCTGCGTAACTCAGGTGCCAGGTCATTCATCATGTTGATTTCTCGACCTAAGTATATATAACTGTTGCATTCGGAGATGGTGGTTCCGTTGAGAGCGAATGGAGCGTCAGGAACAAGGCTGTTTCTCATAAACATTGTCTTCGTAAGATTCAGCTGTAGTCCGACCTTTCCACACTCACGGTCAAAGTCCGCAAGCATTTGTGCCGCTTGGCTGATGTTTGGTGTTATTAGAACGATGTCATCAGCAAAGCGGAGGTGGTGTAGTTGCCGACCATCTATCTTCACTCCCATGTTTTCCCATTCCAGTCGTCGCATGATGTTCTCGAGGGTGGCACTGAAGAGTTTTGGTGAAATGGTATCACCCTGCCGAACCCCTCTCTTGATATGGATGATTACTTCTTTGTAGAATGGTGAGATCTTGGTAGTGAATCCGTAATAGAGCTCACGAAGGATCCTGATGTATTGAGTTTGTACGCCCTGATTGGCTAGGGCTTCCATGACCGCTTCCGTCTCAACAGAATCAAAGGCCTTCTTTAAATCAATGAACGTTAGACAGAGCGGCATCTTGAACTCCCGAGATACCTCAATGAGCTTGGTTATTGTGTGGATATGGTCAATGGTACTGAATCCTGATACAATAATGTGTGCTGTTAATCACAAAGCTTCAGAATTACTTGTTACATAGTAGTAGACTATGAATATGCCTATGTAATGCATGTGGAATTTTTATTGAATGAAGGAACAAATTCATTGTGGGCTATGGAAAAAAATCAAACTCTCTATATCTTACTTTTCTAAGATCAGTTATGAATCATTCTACTATCAAAAGAAGACCTTTCCCTGTTCTGTTTGACTCCCTCTTACTCATAAAGCTGAGGATATAACAAGAAATGAAGACCTGGTTCTAGAAGCATTTCTAAGTAAACTTCTACGTAAATTATGAGTTAGATATTGCCCAATTCCAAAGTGAGCCATACAGACTCCTAGAAAGAATTTTTTTAGGGTCCATTTGGTTTCGGTTTTGGGTGACACCCAGCAGCGCTCAGGGCTTATTCCTGCCTCTGTGCCCAACGGTCACTCCTGAAAGTGCCCAAGAACCACATGTGGTGCTGGGAATCAAACTGAAGTCAGCCATATGCAAGGTAAGCCGCCTGCCTCCTCTACTCTCCCTTTTAGGCCGATAGCGTATTTATTTACTTATTTATTTAAATAGAGGTCTCATCAGCAATGCTCAAGGGCCCTGGGGCATTCTGAGCAATACTTGGCTTACATCTGGAGGTGTGGGTCTGAGGACTCATTGCTTGGCCTGGTTATGCAGTGCTGCTGGGGGCCACCACGTCCACACTTGGTGGTACTGGGAGAAGACATGCAGTACTAGAACTTGTTGCTAGCTCACAAATGCATGGCACGTATTCCACCCCTTTGAGCTATCTCCTCAGACCCAGAATGTACTTTTCTTCTTTAAAATTGGAGATGTGGGCCTGTAGCAATAGCACAGCGGGTAGGGCGTTTGCCTTGCACATGGCAGACCCAGGTTCGATTCCCAGCATCCCATATGGTCCCCTAAGCACTGCCAGGAGTAATTCTTGAGTGCATGAGCTAGAAGTAACCCCTGTGCATCGCTGGGTATTACCCAAAAAGGTAAAGGTAAAGGTAAAGGCCCTCCCGTTGATCGTCGATTTGCTCGAGCGGGCCCAGTAACGTCTCCAT